ATCGCAATCCGCTTACTCCAAGAGTAATTATTGCCTTAATCCAAGGCTAATTAACTCTCCCGTTTAAAATCCAAAACTGACTTTATTTATTTTTATCTGCGGCAAAGCCGCCTAACTGTAAATGCATTGTTTTTTTCTGAGTATATAGTAAAATCTAAATACATTCATAACTACTGGCTACCCAGTCACATACCGTATTCATGTTTAGGTGCAGTCACACCATGCCCATCTCGTGTGACACACACTCCTGTTACCAGGGTACATGTAACTACGTTACACCTGTACCTTACAAAGTCCCATCTTCTTCATTAGGAATTGCACGACACATATTCTTACGTACACGTACACAATAGTGCGGTGCTTTTTGATCAAGTAATATCAAAATGATATTTTGGCTGAGTACTGATTTGGTAAACACTATGCCTCGTTCAAGCTATCATACAAAACATTTGGAGATTAATTTTCATCGCGTTTGCAGTGTCACAATCTAAAGATGATTTATGCTGATGTCTTAATTGCCTTGCAACTGCTACTTCAATCGACAACCCTTTTGTCAACGTCAAGTCTCATGTACAGGTTGCAACACAATTTTTTATTTTAATCACTTTAATGAAATTTGAGCTTAACCCTATGTACTTTTTGCCGCGTATGTATGAAGTATATGAGAAATGTTTTCATATCAAATACATTCACCTTCATACTTTACTTCTCAAGCGAGATGTAGCTCCTTCGTATTAGAATAAACTCAATTTGTTGAAGTCATCATACGTCCACAAAAGCAAAACTGATACATCAAAAAAAGGTGCGCATTGGGTTTAAAAAACCTACAGATCATTAAAGTTACAGGTACTTGATCGTCCAGTGGGTTACGCTATTATATTCGGTGCTGACAATAGTTGCCCTAGCAAGATTTTTAGAATTTAGATATAGTTTTCCCTTTTTGGCGGTAATAGTATCCACGCGTGTGTGATAAATAAGCAACCAGGTAATTCATTGAGGACATGCGCACGTATACTGTACCCGCTTACAAGCCAGCAAAACATCTAGCTTTCTACATACTGAAATTGTATCAACCCTCGAGTCATCGCCATAGGGTCAGCAAACCTGGTGCATCCAATCGTCGAAATTGATTGAGTAAAGAACGGCTCAAAGTGCAATTTGCCGAGTGATAATCGCGACATATCATGAAACATCGAGAATTAAGTCGTGCCGCATTTCCGCGAAAATTGCGCAAGTCTTGCTCTCTACCATCATGCAAAAATCAATGTGGCACCTGCATGCACTGTACATGTGACGGTCGCTGCGGACATCACGCTGCTGGTCATTGTGGAGGCCGTCGAGAAGGTTCTGGTCGCGGATGCAAGCGCCAAGACTGTACGCGGGACGATTACTGTCTACATAGCAGTCGCGCAACTTGTTGCCATTGTCGCAATCTCGTGTCTTCTGCCGGTCGCGCGGCTAAGCGACCGAGGGTAACGATTCCACTGCTACTCACTCATTCCCACGATCCGTGTTTCCCAGTGTCGCCTGTCTACCGACAAGACGTTCAAGTTGGTAGTGTAGCGCAATTACAGGTATCAAAAACTAGCGATGAAGTATTAGAAGCGGAACTTTGTGCTTTTCTGCATGATGCCAATCTTGGTGGTGATCTCTCGCTATGCGAGCACGACGAATGGGCGTCAAGACGCCAGCACTGTAATCTCGTGGTGTTGGTCTGTGGTACGCAATTTAATCTTCACAAATTTCCAATGCTTTGGGAGTGTCGCAAATTGCATCGAATGGTGCGTCAAGCATTAGAAGAAAACGCCAACAAAAGACATTTAGGCGGAGCAGTACCGATTCTTGAGCTGCCACAATTCCCTGGTGGCGCTGAGATATTTGAGACACTAGCTGTCTACTGCTACACTGGCGAAATCTTCTTTTCTGTATCGAACCTTGCGGTGATGAATTGCGTGATCGAGTTTTTAGATATGCGCGACGAGATTCGAGAAAGCGTGCAACGATTTCTTGACCAACTCTGCCAGAATATAGAGGACTTCCGTGACCTGTTGCAAGTGATTAGCTCAGCAGAGACACTAGCTGAGACGCAACCACAGCTTTTCCACTCAGCGATTGAATCGACTATTGAAATGTGCATTAACGCACTTGTGCAGAGAAAAGATTTTCTTGACACAGACGCAATTTTGCAGCTATTCACGTTGCCTAGTAAGCTATTCAATAAGCTTACACAAAAAATTCTCTCGTTACATTCTTCAGTCCCAGATTCAAGACGCTCCAACATTCATAACAAAAATGAATCATATGTGCTGGCAAAGCTGGTACAACTCTATCGAGACGCACAATGCACGAACCAATGCAATCAATTTGTTGTACAACAGTGTATGCAGCTGTTAAGATGTGAGTGCGACCAAGCGTCCGTCAGCTCGATGACTGATAAAATGGAGACGTCGTTTAGAGAACCTCTGGAATTCACTCTGTCGATGACAAACGATGTGGCAGATAAGATGCTAGTCAAATTTATCGACGACAACTTGGGAACGTCAAGTGTTCCACAACTCGACGCTTGCGTATTGGCCACTAGCGATAGCTTCTACTTTGACGCTTATACACTATCGGAAGCCTTCATCGTTTAACATTAATCTGGACATGGCGACATCTCTGTCTCTTAATCACTATTTTTCGTGTCCCCTGTAGCAGGCTGTCGTAAAGTAGCTTTTCGATAAAACCCAGAAGTAAATGTAAAATTGTTTCCTACAGCATAAAATTTCCTCTGATCAAATCTCAGGTTATAACTTTAAATTGATCAAAATTCATAAAATTAACTTGCACATCCGTCGTAAGGCCTAAAATTTAATACAGACTACGGTATTTTTGTCCAACAAACTTTGCTGATTTGCTATGATTTTGACCAATGCGTTGCTACCTCACTGTCAATCAAAAAGATGGCGCCGGCTTCGCGATCATGTCCGTCAGTTGGTTATGGAGCGATGATTTTATTGGCCATGCAGTTTGGTCTACAACCAATTCTCTACAAGGAATTTGCGAGTGAGGTAAAGCATCGTACTGTTCTGGTGATTGGCTGCGAAGCGTTCAAACTGTTGCTGTCGCTTCTGATCCTACTATCCTCGGGGACGTTCAATCAAGTCATCAAGACGTGGAGTTTTCGTGACAGTCTCATTTCATCAGGTCTACCCGCTTGCACTTATGCTGTGCAGAACGTGCTTATCCAAATTGCGTACCAACATCTACCGTCTATCGTGTTTAATCTTCTGAACCAGACTAAACTCCTCTCAGCTGCCCTCTTTCTCTACATATTAATGGACACGCGCTTCTCTCTTCCCCAGTGCTTTGCCATGCTATTGCTTCTGGGTGCCGCCGTGTTGCTCTCACTTGCTAAGGACGGACAATCTTCGAGCGCCACCATCTCCTTCGAGCTCGGTCTCATGCCTTGTCTACTCGCTTCGTTGCTATCAGGACTTGGATCGGCACTCACACAGCGCTCTATGCAGCAGCTAAAACGTGATGCTTCTCTTGTGACAATGGAGCTGTCAGTCTTTGGCACTTTGTTCCTCATGCTTCCAGCCATTTGGTCCACAATCGTGTCAACGCCTTCCGCAGAGTCACCAGCTGCCAACGTTTTGGCCAATACTGACAAGATATTTGAAGGATGTAATCTTTACACACTCATTCCAGTAATTAGCAATGCTTTTGGTGGATTGCTTGTCGGTACAGTCACGAAATACGTTGGTGGAGTGCTCAAATCATTTGCTCTCATTTGTGGTATTGCCTTTACTGCCTTGGTTGAGAGTTACGTGTATGGCGTTGTGCTGCCAAATGAAGTGTTCACTGCCACCTTTCTTGTTGCAATAAGTATGAGTATTTACTCGAGCTTTCCATTTGTAAAGATTGAAAAAGCAAAGACCGAGTAAATTTATTATGATCCTATCTTTCATTTTATAGACGTAAACATTTCCAGTACAAGTTTTGACTTCCTCCTTATTATGTTGTTAACAAAAAATGTCGAATCATGACCGTAGCGAGTAAGCAGATCAGATTGAAGTGTGTGCACGGTATCAAAGCTTTATCCAAATACTTTGTCTAATGTGCCCGTAGAGACGAGGATGACCCACATGATACCAACGCAGAGCGACACACAAGATGAAAAGATACCAATACGCACAAGCGATGAGTCTGAAAAGCGGCTCATACGGCCTGTGACTTCTCCGTAAAGTGCTGCAAAGCCTCCCATTGTAAAGATGGAGGACACGCAGAACGCGCCAAGATAGACAGATGATCTGGCCCAATCATTGAGAAACACAGCAGGAAGTACGCCCAGGATACCACCCGTACCCGCCAGACCGTGTGCTGTCCCGTACACGAAAGCCGTGAGCTGTTGTGTACGCGCATTTTTGATATCAGCTTCAACCAGGCCAAAGCAGCATAATTTATTGCTTGGGTGCTGTGGATCGGTAGCCAATGATGCACCATGATGGTCCAATAAATGGGCGTACAAAATCTTTTGCACTTCTGTGTCGCTGTCTGAAGAGTTTCCCTTTAACTGCTGCAGCTCTGCCTCAAGATGCAGAGGTGTTGTCTCATTCGCCATGAAGTGCTTAACTTGCAGCTTGTGACGCAGTAATAAGTAGTAGCGTAGACTCCATAGTCCAAGTGCCATCATCAGAAAACCGACCATAAAGTCACAGTAATTACCAAAAGTTCCTACATCTAACCGCTGGTTAAGAGCCAGAAAGCCCACAGTAACGACGATAAGTCCTGTTGAATGGCCGCAACCCCAGCGCATACCTAACTCGCATGAATGCCACGATGAACCAGCACTTAACACGATCAGTGCGCTAAGATGATCGGGTCCAGTCAAAACGTGGATGAGTCCTAGCAACAAACCCGTGGCCATTATACCTAGTAGAGACGCGTTTTCTAATGTGGTCACGGTGTCGGTGGCGCTCATGGCGGCCGAAGGGAAATTTCGGATTGATAATCTTTGAAAGGGATCGAAGGGATTTTGTCTTCCAATTATGATACAATGTGATGGGTCATCAATTTAAATCTACCTCACCAACAGATGGTAAAAATAGGCAGAGTATGTCTCTACCTACATTCCGAGACATGAGGGTGACCACGTCAGTGATCAGGAGCGAATTGCCTCAGTGGCAAGGCGACGCCATTAATCCGAATACCCAGAGAATCATACTTGGCAACTCT